TTTTTTTTTTTTTTTTTTTTTGCTTTTGGTTTTTCAAGACAGGGTTTGAAATTCTTAAATAATAAACAGTAAATCTAAAAAAAGGAAAAAATACTTTTAATCAAGGTGGAGAGATGGCTCATCCATTCAGAGGTAGAGAGTTCAATTTCTAACACCCCCATTGGGCAGCTCACAACCTCCTATAATTCTAGCTCTAAGAGGGCCTGCTTATCCCACTGGCCTCCCCAGGAACCTGTGCACACACCCATACATATTCAGGTATTTTAAAATAGTAAAAATGAAATCGTTTTTAAACACACACACACACACACACACACACACACACACACACACACAGAGCTACACATGTGAATCCATTTCTGGACTCTACATCCAGTCCTGCAGCTGTGGGTCTACCCTAACTCCAGCCCACACTGACAACTGTGCTGTGTAACACACCTTGAGAGTACAAGTCCTCAAGTTGTGTTTTTATTTTTCAAAACTGTTCTAGCTATTCTGTGACCTTTGGATTTCCATTGAAATTTTTTAATCAGTTTGTTGATTTCTATAAAAATTCTTCTGGAGTTTTACTTGGCATCATGTACACTTCAACCACCAGCCTAGGCAGAGGACAGCTTAGCAGCTTGTCTGCCCATCCATTCATGTGGTATCTATGTCTTCATTTCTGTAAGCAATATTTAACTGTATGGGCTTTAGTGCAAATTGGATAAATTTGTAGCTAAGTACTTCATGTTTTCAGATGGTACTGAAAACAGTGTGTTTTATTTTGATATTTAATGTATTTTTAAACATATTTTAGTAATATAACCAATTTAGACATTGCCTTTGGTTCCTGAAACCTTGTTCAGCTGACTTCATTGCTGAGCCTATAACATGTAAAGAAATGAGACAGGAATACAGAAGTACAAAGGATCAGGGGAAACTGAGGCCACACCACAGAGAAGGGAAGGAACAGTCAGGAGCCTGAAGAGAAGAAACCCAAGCAAGCAAACAGTGGGTTCACAGGTTAAGACTCAAGGGATATGCTTTTCCTAATTTGTTGTATTGAATTTAAAAGAAATAGATTTGAAAAGCAGTAATAACACAGTGCAATATATATATATGAACATTCATGACACTGAGACCACAGGTAAATATTTATGATGAAATTAACAAAGAAAGTGGAAATGGATGCAGACAAAAGAAAAATGGATGTGGATGGCTACAGCCCAGTTAACAGTCCAAGAGGGACAAAGACTTAGGATCAAGAAGACAAAAAAGTCTCCAAAGAACATATAAGCTCCAGTCTGATGCCACTACAAACAGAAACAGAAGAAAATTAAGTCCCAGATGAGTAGCATAACAGGTCCCCAGACCTTAGCACAACTGACTCTATGATGGAAGAACCATTCAAGTCATAAAACTCAGCACATACACAACACCATCTGCCAAACCCAAAACAAAGACCTAATCCATCAAAGTCCGTAGTTCTGGGAAAGTCTCTAAATGTACTAGCCTTTCACTTTGACTTCTGTAGTTCCACAACGGCCTATCTGTTCTTGTTAACTGAAGGATGTCAGTCCAGAACATGTTTTTTGTGCATAAAAGCTCAGCCTGGCATAGGATCGGTACTATACTAGAATCTCAGACACCCAGAGTAGTTGCCTGCTGGCTAATAAAGAACTTCCATTGGCTTAAACCCATTTCCGAGCAGTCTTCTTTGGTGGACACCCTGCAATAAGTGGAAGGAAGCAGCCAGTAAAGATTAGAGCAGAACTCAGCAAACCAGAAAGAAACAAAGATAAAGTAAAACACACCAAAGCTTAATTCTTTAAAAAAAACTAATAAAATCAGGAAAACTTTAGCTGATAGGATACTGACTAACGTCTAAAACCAAAATGAAAGAATAGCATCAACACAAATAGAAAATGCTCAGAAGAAAACATGAGTCTGCATCTCTATAACACTGATTGAAGCCAAGATGCCCCTGTGACCCCAGATGCATCATCAGAAAGGGGGAAGATAATTGCAATCAACAAGGACTTGGAATGTTCAGACTCCAGCAACAAAATATACTGTAGGTGGACAGGAAGGATACCTAAGTAATATATCTGCTTTCATACACACCTTATGTGTATTTAAAATATATGAAGAGCTGGGCATGGTAGTCCAGGCCATTAATCCCAAAATTCAGGAGTTAGAAGCCTGTAGATCTCTAAGAGTTAAGGGTCATCCTGGTCTACTTAGCAAGTCCCAGAAAAGCTAGGACTACACAGAGAGGCCCTATCTCAAATTGTGTGTGTGTGTGTGTGTGTGTGTGTGTGTGTGTGTGTGTGTGTGTGTGTGTGGAGAACTGTCAAAACTAAAAAAGCACCAACAGTAATCAACAGTAATACCTTAACTTCTTTAAAAGGAAAAAAAAAAAAGACTATCAGGCATTTTACCAAAGAAACACATGCTGCTCAGCAATGCTTGCTCTGAGGGAAGCACAAACCAAAACCACAGGAACAGCTGGGTTACTGTGAGTTGCAGACTAGCCAGGGCCATGAAGTTGTGTTGTTTTGTTTAGGCAGCACTATTCTTGTATGACATGGATGGCTGGTGAGCACTCATTAGAATAATACCTTCTAATATTTCTCTCAGAAACATGTGCTAGTTTATAATTTGTTTCTGAAGTTGGAGGGATGTTAATCTGAGTATTCCATTGTTGCAACAGGTCTCGACCCCACAGGTTCATAGCTATGTCAGCCACATATGGTTTTAATTTTCCTCTCTGTCCTTCTGGACCTATACATTCCAGCCATCTTGCACTCTGTTTCACTCGAGATAATATCCCAATTCCTAACAGTTGAACATTTACCTCCTGAAGAGGCCAAGTTGGATGCCAAAATTCTGGTGCAATTATGGTAATGTCCGCACCTGTGTCTACCAGACCAGACAACAAAACACCATTTATTTTTATTGTTAGTTTTGGTCTTTGTTCATTTTTTGCCAAAAAATTTTCTTTATGTTTTTTTCCTGAATTTCCTATTCTTTCTGTTTCATCATCCCAACCAACATGATTTATTCCAATGGGCATTTGGTTATTTAGTTGCTTTGAGTAGGGATTTCCTCTACAACTGCAGGAAAGGTTTGAACTGGATTTACTGTGAGGGCCTGCCTGAGGCCCTTCTGGGAGTTTCCTGAAGCCCGAGGCAAAGGATTACCCTGTCTGTCCCTTGTTGATCTATAACGAAAAGCATGGATCACTTTTTCTACATGGAATGAAGAGGTGGTAAGCACATTCAGCCATGTTCTGGATAAGCAAGTCACCTCAGGGCATGATCATTGCCAAGATGTTCAATAAACCATCTTATGAAGCACTGGGGAGACCCATGGCACAGAGGAAGACACAGCATGTAGGCACTTGCCAGAACTCCTGGTTGGTCAGATCTCTAGGAGCCAGCACTTTCTAAGAAGCAGTTCCACACAGCAGCCATGCCAGCAAGCTCACCAGCCACCACTGTGTCTAATCTCCAGGCTTATGTTGTTTGGTGGGAGCCCTCTCTACCTCCAGCACTCTGCATCAGTTTCTGGGGCTGGACCTCCCCTGCACTAGCTCTTCTCATGACACACTGGTTCCCGGATTTGCACACACTAGGCCTCTAAGTTAACTATATGGAGTCTCCTATCTCCAAGCCTACCTCTTAATCCTGCTCACTGTGACAGGCATACTTCCTGGTACCTGGCTTGATAATACCGACTAGTGTTCAACAAATTTCACTGGGTGGATGAATAGAGACTTAATAATGTAGTTAGCCTAAGAACAGGCACTAATTTGTCAAGTTCCTCAAAAACCCTGAACATTTTAATCTTTAAGACATCTGTCTCAGGTCCAGGCATGGACCAGATCTTGAACTGGGGCCTCAAGGGTATGGACACCCACTGAAGAGTTCCAGGTCCTCTGAGGGTCCAGAATGAGTGAAATGATGAGTCTCTGACCTGAGAACAGCAGTGCAGCCCAAGGGCAGAAGGAACTTGGAACTGGCCTGCTCATTATCTTGACTAGAGACTGTGTCACAGGGGCCAAAAGTCATCAAATTGTATACACTGTGTGTTTTACTATATAATAACTGTTAACATTTGCTGGGAAGGAAAAGATAACACCAGAAGGACAGTGGTAGGGGGATAAAAAAGGACAGAGAACATCCCAGGAAAGCATTCCCAATAACAGAAGCAGGGGTTGCAGTTAAATCACCCCAACTCCATTCACCCTTCCCATGTCTCTCCAAACCTGTCTTTCCTTGGGAAAAAAAAAAAAAAAAGAGCAACTAACTCTCTCCCAATCCAAAGACTGAATCAATACTAACACTGTGGTTGTCAGAATCAGGTGTGTCCTGCTCTGAGTCACTCCATATTATATAAATCAGGTTTTTTATTTCATCCTATGCTTTGCCCTAAGAGGTTGCATCATCTATCCAGCATAGAATGATAGATGACTTATTCCTGGAAACAAAAAGGGAGTCACCCTATGAGGTTATGGGTGTCAGTTGAGACTATAGGGTCTTATGGGCATATTATAACCAAACGTACAGGGATAAAGCTGTAAAACTTTTAAAAAGCCACTAACTTGTAAGCTGTTAAAGATAACTAAGACATGCAAGTTAATGCTCAGTATCCTTTATAAATGACCAAATTCTTTTACCCTCAGAATCATGTTCCCAGTCGTGCTAAGTACAAATGTAAGTCATTTACAAGCTTGATTTAGCTTCCTGTATATGTTTTCAAGGTTGAGCCTAAAACAAGTAACTAAAAATGAGTAAAGTTTGTTTAAAATCAGGCATAATTAATACATGGTTCTCAAACTCTTCAGAGGTCTGCTGAATATGGCATTTAAAGTATTTAATGAAAAAAACCTTTCAGTGTAGACAGAAATACCCGCTCCTAGAGACTATTCCAGGATTGCCAAAGAAAACGTGGGGCACATACAACTCCACCTATATTATGGTTACCCTAACCAGTAGGCAAAGAAATGCCCCAGTTCCTGGCCCACCACCAGGGCCCTGCCCAAACTGTGGACACTAGTTGACTTCTCTACTCTGCCTCACCAAAATATGTCAGTGTTCCTATGTCCTCATCTACAGGAAAATTTCTAAGACCTCCTGAGTCTGGTAGCTGAAGACACATGCTATCCTGTGCAGCAGCTACAGAGGCAACATTGTCCTGTGTGATAGTCCAAGACCTATGACCTCCGTCCCCCAACAAGGCCAGTGAGACTATGGATGAAGGAACTCTGCCCAGCCTGAGCATGGCAAACAGGGCTCTGGCAGGCCTGGCCTTCTCCCCCATTCCCTATGTCTTGATTAAAAAACAAAAACAAAAACAAAAACAAAAACAAAAAAAAAAAAACTGTTACATTACATTCCTAAAGCTAGCCACCAAGGTCTATTCCCTTATTTGGCTACTTCCTCTTCCTGATGCTGACTACCAAGGTCCAGCTATCAAAGTATTGAAACCCAACAATCAAAAGCCCCCTTTGGCTCATCTAGTTCGCGTAAGCATTGCAGTACAGAAGGAATGGTATCCTGGCAGTCAGGAATACCACAAAGTCACCATAAGCTAGCAGCTTACATCCTGCTCCAGGGAGAGGTTCCCCAACGCAAGTGTTACAGCTCTGTCCCAGCAACAACTCTGCTCGGCTAGGGAAGTTTCTCCTGTGAAAGTCTTCCAGTTCTGCTTGGTTTCACTCTGCTCTGGGGAAAGTTGTTACACTTGGGCTCCAGCAAAAACGTCACACCACACAACAAACCTCACTCAAGGGATTTATCAGGAAGAAAGATCCCAACAGGGTGGCTGCCTCAGATGCGAAACAGCAGCAAACTGAACAGGGTACAGACCTTATATAGGATTTCTTGGGAGGCAGAGCTTTCCAGGGTGGATTGAGAATGGTGGATTTTAGTGGTCTGATTCTGGGGCAAACTCAGGGATTGGTGGCATTTCATGCTCAAGGACCTCAGGGACTGGTGGGATTTTGCAGCCTGACTCTGAAGAGAGCTCAAGGATTGTTGTGATTTCAAGCCCTTGTCCTAGGGTCAAGTCAGGGTATTTTTCCTTGGCCCTTTTCACCCTACAGTTAGCTTGTCCAATTTAAACAACTCATCCTAACATGGGATTTCCATTTTTATCTTTATGAGTCACCATTTGCCAAGGGTCATGTGTGTCTCCTCTCCATCTAGAGGCAGTTCTCCCCACCCCCAGGACAAATACCCCTGCCCCCTCTTCCTTGTTCCCTTCCCCTTCTCCCTCATCCTCTGTCTCCTGTCTTTGTCTCTTATTCCCTGCCCTCTGTCCCTCTGAGACAAATAAATTTCCTTTGTGCTGAGAACTTGGTCTTGGGGTTCTGAATTTATACAGATCCCTTCACATGGTGCTGTGACTTGGGTATCAGCCTACAGGAATCCTGCCCCCCTTAGACCTGCACATTCAGACCTTCAGCCACCGGCCTTCTCCTTCCAACAATGTCTAGTTGGTGAGTTTTCCCCTAAACTCCTTACATTCCCACACTACCCAAAAGCACATTCTGTTCAGTTTGGTGTGGTTGGCACGCTCTCCTTCCCTTTTGGTGGTTTCACTGCCAAACTCCAGAGCCTTTCCCCCTCTGATAACCCATGGATAGAGCCAATATTCTTGCTCAGACACATTGTGGTCACTCTCTTGGAGACAGAGTCTGGGTGATGACCCCCTATATAAGCCCCTCAAGGGACAAGAGTGGCCAGGCCCCTCCCCTGAGGACCTCCAACAGTCAAGTTCCGCCCAGAAAACACTTTAACTGCCCTAACAGCCAGACCCAGCCCCCACCTTACAGAATAAAAAGCCCAAGCTCTGGAGTTGAAATCCCACCAATCCCCACCCTGGAAATCTCCACCTTCAAAAGCTCTGCCCTCCAAGAAATGCTATATAAACCCTGCCCTCTCCTCAGTTCTCTGTTCCTTCTTGCCCGAGCAGAGGCAGCCACCCTCCTGGGTTCTTCCACACCAATAAATCTCTTATGTGAGGTTTGTTGTGCAGTGTGACTTTGTGGTATCATTTGGCTCTCAACTGTCAAGACACATTTCCCCACAGAGCTGTAACACTTACACCCACCCTATCAGAGATCTCTGTTCTTCACCTTTTGAGAGACATGAGGACACTCTATCTCTTGATTTTTGGCTCACCAGCCTTCACTGAGGATGGAAGTTCTTTCTCCCCACACACACAAAAAAACTCATTATTAGTGGTACACTTTAGCATCCAACAATAACTCTGGAGCCTGAAGGTATCTCCGCTTTCCCTTCTGTCTGCTACGAGCCCTCTGTGCGGCTCGTAGACTCTCTGAAATTTTCCAAACTCTTCTGTAAGCCTTTACTCCATGTCATGTCCTATTTACCCCTCCACACTGCAGGAACACTGACTGCCAGCCACTCTGTGCCCGCCAGCTGCTGCCCATGCAGCCAGCCCTGCCCCCTGCCCTGCAGCCCCTGCTGCTGTGGAGCCCACCTGAGCCTTCAGCTTCAGCATAGGCACGGATGCCACAGTCCATGCACCTCAGGACCGATTTATGGAGGCCGCTGTTACAGTCTCCGCTGCCCATAGCTCCCAAAGCCCCCCCTTCCTTTCAGCCCACCTGAGCTCTGGTAAAGATCCAACAGCCCCCCTCCTTCTCCTGCCCCTCTGCAGCCCAGCACACTCACTCCCTGGTTGGCCCTGCCCACTCTGCAAGGCCCAGTCCAACGTGACCTGGGGGGAGGAGTCTACACACAAGTGGCCCCCCTCTAACTCTCCAACACTCCTTAACAACCAACAACCCAAAGGAACCAATGTCTTCTCTCCCCTCC